TTTATGCATTTGCTTATGCTTATATATAGACCAATCAATTTCCTTATGCTTATGCGTTATGCTTTATGTAAAAGTCTGTGCTCCGGCCTTAAGTCCTAATAGAGCGAGAACAACGGTTCCGTAACCATGGCGCAGCATATTTTTATCTCTCTTTCTAATGGGTACCTACCTCCAGAGCGCGCATGCGTGTAATTTATTTCAGCCAATAGAAAAACGTGTGAGAAGGAGAAAGATCCATACGTAGTGTTTATAACCGCAAAACTGAAAGATTTGTTCGTGCGCCTGCCGCGCATGCGCACAACGATCAAGGTACCAATTTTTATGTTCTTCTGTCTCTTTTTTTCGGGAGACGCTTCATTTACGGGAAAGATACGTTAGCAGTATAGGAGTATTACATATATGCCAGTATCGTATGTTGTACAGAGTTATGTTATGATAGGGTTCGGAACACGCTCGGTTTAGTTTAGTGGCTACCAACCTCTAGAAAATAAAATATGCCGAACTGATACGATTTAGAACACACCCTAAATTTTAACAGATTGGCAACAGTGAATTTGAAAGTTAGCGATTTTTAACTTATATCGTACCGTTCGTTGTGTACAGGTTAGTATTTTGATTCTCACAATCGTTTTCCAACGGCGGGAAATAAAGAGCTATTATTTTACAGATATATTGTGAAAATGATCGTCAATCGAGCGATTCGCAATAGTAGTTGAAGATTTTTGTTGACAGTTTTTACTGTAACTACATCAAAATGGTGAAGAATTTTGTGATTCCTTTGATGAAAGATGAGCTTCTTACGATTCATGCCGATCAGTACTTCGTCAAGGATGTTGTACCCCTACGAATGCTGACACAAGCTCTCGATGGTATGTATTGTTATTTATTACAATATAAGTCTATTGATATGAAATCTTTTGTTAGTCTTTTTATTAGATTATTGAAAAGTTTGCACTTTTTTTCATAAACCTTATATTGCAAAAATAAATATACAGTAGTATGAAATTAATATAATTTTTGTTTTCTTTGACAATTTCTATTTATTGTTTTAGTAGTTGGTTTATGTCTAATTTAAGAAATTCTTGGATTTTGAATTAAGACTTGAAATGATTCAATATGATTCAATAAATTGTTAGTCGTGATAATTGACTACTGAGTAATCTATAAATGTGTAATTTGTGTTGCAGTTACAAAATCAGCGTTAGATAAAAACGGTGTGGATTTTGTTCTGGACCATTTTGATACATTTTTCTCTATCATTGCTCATGGCAATAAAGTAGAAATAGAAGTCGTCCAGCGTGCTTACAATAGGATTTATAAGGGTAATATTTTGTAGAAAATCTTTATTCTATATAGAAACATAATGTTTTATGAATTACATAATTGCTTGATTAAACTAGTCATAAGTTTATATAAATGTGACTTTTTAGCGGTGCAAATACTCGTGGATGACCTAGAAAAGATATTTGATTATGACAAAGAAATTACAGATGAGGAGGAGAGAGAAAAGTACTTGTGCCTTAATAATATGCTGGCATATTTACTTTCGTATCTTGTCTGTCATATTAACGAACATTTTGCAAAAAATGTGTATGAGACTGTTGGGAAGGTATAAAAAATCAGAGTTATCTGTATTGAGTTTTTAATTTATGTAGTTGAAAGTCGATTATTTTTAGTATAAGAAAAATACAAAGTCAAATGGTGAGGAGGAATGGGAAGACTCTAGACAGAAGGCTTTGGAACTTCTGTATCGATGGCTGCAGTTACCGTTGTACAAAATCTGGAAGCCACCGATCGTCGACAATTCATTTGTTATGTAAGTTACGCAGTAAGTCAATTTTAAAACACTATTGTACAATTGTATGTGCTTGTAGGACTTTGGCGAATATATGTTATAAGATACTGGAACAGAGTAAAGAGGCTAAACAAAAACAAACCAGGCAAACCATATTTGAGGTACTGTCACTTGAATTCGCATAGATGCAAATTCTACTCTATATCGATACTAAATGCCACATTCTGTTCACAGGTTTTGGGCACCTTGATCAAAAAGTACAATCACGGGCTAACCAGCGTTGTGAGAATTATTCAGGTATGTGCAATAACGTATGCAAACAACAAATTATTTACAAGTTTTATCATTTTATTTTAAAAATATCTTTGTAATGTTGCAGTTAGTGAAATTGTATGACGCGTTAGCGATACCCATAGCAGTTGGCGTGGTGCACATGACCACGGAATGCAGCTGCAACGGTCTGTTAAGGGAGATGATGAACGAGATCGGGCATAACGACATTGGCGAAACGCATAGCCGTAACATATCCATATTTCTCGAGAATATCGCGATCTCGCAACCTGATCTCATTATTCCTATTCTCGACGATATCACGGAGTACCTGTCAAACGACGTAAGTTCTTGTTGCAATTTTCTTGCTTGTTAAAACTTTTAAATTGCTAATAGCACTTTTATCTAGTTTTATACCATGAGAAACTGCGTGATCGGAGTCATGGGTGCGGTGGTGCAGAAAGCGTTGAACGGCGAGGATCTCACGAGTGAACAGAAGGAGAAACGCGACGAATGCCTGAATCTTTTGGAGGAGCACATTTTAGATTGCAACGCTTATGTGAGATCAAAGGTGCTTCAGACTTGGCAACGCTTGTGCTGTGAGGGTGCTGTACCGATAGCGAGACACGCGAAGCTTTTGGCCGCCACTACGTTGCGTTTGGAAGACAAGAGCGCGAATGTGCGAAAACAAGCTCTTCAGTTGCTGCGCGCTTTGTTGCAGAGCAATCCCTTCGCTGGCAAGGTATGCGCGTTTCGTCAACTAAACTTCTCTCCACGGACTAAATTGACTATATATTTTTTGATTGTAGTTGAATTGCGATGAACTTTCCAAGACGTTGAAGGAGGAGAAAGCAAAGCTGCAAGAGCTGCAGAGTCAACTCGCGAGTAACAGTGGACGAGGTCACGCGCAGAGATTCGAGCTTTGGACCGCTTTAGAGTCGGATATAAAGGCGGCGATAAAGAAGATTATTAAAAATGACGAAGCGGAAGATGAAGATGGTTTGTATTAGTATTTTTTATTAGTGCGTTTTGTCATTTCGCATGAAATACTAATTTCAAGATCCGTTGCGCATAATTTTTGCTTTTACAGATACAGATACAGAAGACGAAGAGAACATTGATCCGAATCACATGTTCGAACACATAAGACAACTGTTGTTGAATCGAAAGGTCACCGCGGCGGTGAAGTACCTATGGACAACCTGTACGAAGTTGAAAGAAAATCCTGAGATGGAAAATCTGTCCGCTATCGCGAAGGAGGAATGCCTATTCACTTTTTTGCTCAAAATCTTCATAGAGTCGGAGGATGATTCGCTGGAGAATGAAAACGGAGATGCGGTGAACAACGCGGACAAATTAAACCAAGTCAATAAGATGAAGGAGGACATTAACAAGCGAAAGCGCATCATAAATTATTTAAACGTACGCGATATAAGAAATGAGTGCGACGATCACCTTGAAGTTTTTATTATTACACGGTCTCTTTGCAGAATTGTCTAGAGTTCGCGACCAAGTTGGAAGATACGATACCGATGGCGAAGAGACTGCTATTTTCTACATGTGCCAGCGACGCCGTGGAATCGTGCACTTTCCTGGGAATCGCTTTCCAGTTTGGAGTGACCGGAGCGGCCGACTGTATGCGCGAGACACTGTTTCAAGCCTTTCATCGCGATCAGTCTGTGCGTAACAACCTAGCCGCGGTATACAAGGAGATTTACCTTACCTCCGACGACAAGAAATCGACTCGTCAAATAGCTGTCACTCGCGCAAACCATCTGATCAACTTGATGAAAAAGCTACAGCCCGGACAGAGCCCGGCTTTGACACAGCTGATCGTAACGTGGTATAAGAACGAGGAGCTGAACAGCGAATTACTGCAGGTGATTCAATACAAATTTTGTTTAACGACAAACTGAGAGTATTCTGAGTTTTAGAGTGACGTATGGTTTTATAAAATAAAAAAAAATTTTACAGGAAAATTACTATGAGAATGAAAGCGCAGATGTAAAAAAATTTTATGATCTATCAATATAAAGTAGGGATACCGATACATTGATTATAAAATTTTTGCGGCCCAACATTCATGCTTTTGTTTTTATTTTTTTTCTATTCTATTTATTTCTATTATTAACTTTTTCTATTTATTAAATTTATTATTAAGTTTTATTCCAAGATTTTTTCTGAGAACTAAAAATATTTCGTGCGATAATTTGAGATTAGGATAGAAGTTTGTAAAATCAGTTTCTTTTTTATAGTCTAACTTTGATAAATGTTTCAGGTATTATGGGAAAAGTTCTGCTTGAAATATTCGGGCACGTCACCGATCGACAGCAGAACGGCGTTGATGATATTAACAATGATAGCTCAAGCGGAGCCCGACATAGTAACTGACAATCTGAATATATTAGTGACGATAGGATTAGGCCCGCGCGCGAAGGACGATCTTCTTTTAGCGCGGGACACCTGCAGAATGTTGTTGAAGATCAAACAAAATAGCAGGGACGTCGAAAAAGCGCCTCTGAGGTAAGCGATCGTCGGAAATAGTGAATCTGAATATTTAAGTTCCTTGGACGATATTTTTTTTTTTTTAGGTATCCTAACGATCACGACATATTTCGAGAAATTTTGATATTGTTAATAGACACTTTTACCAGCGTCGGAGAGAAAACTTACATTTCATTCGCGACTGACGCGATCAACGTCATATATCACGTGAGTAAATCAAATACATGTTTGGAGAATATCGCACTAACAGAGAATTTTACAATTTTAGTTGGCGAATCAATCTGATCAGTTGATAAAGAAATTATTGCTGGACATTACGGAGAAGGGCCAGTTCACGAACAGAGAAGCGAGTCAAGAACCGATTGTGTCGTGCACCGCGCTCTCGAAACTGCTCTATGTAGTCGGACACGTCGCCATCAGGCAGATGATTCACTTGGACGTGTCCATTTACAAGGAACTGAAACGTAGAAACGCGGTGCGCGAGATGCGAGGTAAACGCAAGAAACGTACGTCGAAGAACGTGGCCTCGACGAGTCACCGAGATATTAGAGGCAGAGCGAACAGGTCTTTTACGTCAAACAAATCTTTGTCGCGGAAGGATAGCTCGATGATTTCTACGACTTCGGAAGATAATGGAGATAATGGAGAGGAGGCTTTGGAGGGTGCGATGGACGACGCCGAAGCGGAATTTGTGAACGGCGCCCTCGAAAACGAGATTGTTACCGGTGACGGCTTGCTCGCGAAATTTATGTATGTTTTCCGATTAATAGCTATCGTGAGGAGTAGTTCTGCAGAATTATCCCAATAGAGGCACGTAATGCATATGTGGTTATTGCAGTCCGCTGGTGTTGGATGTCTGCCAATATCCCGACAAGTATAACAACGACGAGAACGTGCAAGCGGCTGGTTCGCTGGCGCTCAGCAAGATGATGACGGTGAGCTCCGAGTTCTGCGAGCAGTCCCTGCAACTCTTGGTCACGATACTGGAACGGTCGCCGTATTCCGGAATCAGATCGAACATGCTAATCGGATTGAGCGATCTCGCCACTAGATTCCCCAATCAGGTGGAACCTTGGTCGAAGCACATTTATGGCAGGTAAGATGGCTTTCAACATTTAACAGTAATTGATGTATTATTTTAAAAAACGCATTTTACTTAAAAGAAGATTATATTTTACAGTAAGAAAGTAAAATTTATAGTATCAAAAAAATTATATTTTATAGTCTAAACATACTCGAAGAATTTATTAGTTATTTTCAAGTTTTTTTTCAAAATATTTGTGTACTTTTCTTTTTATTTTTTTATCCGCCGGTTGAAAACTTAAAAAGCAGAACTAATGGAATTATTAATATTAATATTTCTAGACTTCGAGACAATGACATAAACGTGCGTAGAACGTGCGTGCGTATGTTGTCGAATTTGATAATGAGGGAGATGATACGCGTGAAGGGACAGGTTTCGGAACTGGCCCTTTGCATCATTGACGAGGACGAGCAGATTCGACAGGAGACGAAGGAATTCTTTAATCATCTCAGCCAGAAAGGCAACACTCTATATAACATAATGCCTGACATATTATCGCGCTTAGCGGATCCTGAGTTGAATCTCAACGAGAAACAGTTCCAGGAAACCATCAGGTAATCGGATCAGCAGATCGTGCCTCAACAAAAGTTTGTGAACACTTCGTAAACGTTATTGTAATTCGCAGGTACATTCTCGGTCTAATGCAGAAAGAGAGACAGATAGATACCATAATCGACAAAATTTGCGCTAGATTCAAATTGGCCGCCACGGAAAGGCAGTGGCGTGATCTCTCCTACTGTCTTTCGCTACTGCAATTCAGCGGAAAGAGTAAGTCAAATGATTTGTATTTAATAATTTGTCTTTTATTTATTATAAACGATTAACTCTGTTCTACTCTCTTCAAGGTATACGACGTCTCATCGAAAGTTTGCCGCTATTGAAAGAGAAAATTCATCACAAGCCGGTGTTAACGGTATTGCAAAATATCATCGAGCAGACGAAGAAAAAGGCGGACGCGAAGGCCGCTTGCGCGGAATTGGAGGAGAAAATACAAGAGCTTCTAGAGACCGAGACAGAAAATAGTGAGGTAACAGATCAGATTCTGATGCCACCACCGAACACCGTGCCGCAAACCAGAAAAAATGTCTATCAGAGCAGACGCAAGAACAAGAATTATGAGGATAATGATTCTTCCGACGATTCCGAGGAAGATGCAAACAATACGCCCGTTAAAAAGAAATGTAAGAGTGAACTCGATGTGGTCAGTATTTTACAGATTACGTATAAATGTAAATGTGCATTTCATATTGTTTTCCAGTAAGATATAGTGTCGAGAAAGCAAGAAGTAAAAGGATCTCTCGTTCAAGATCAATCGCAAAGTATACTGATGATGATAGTGATGATGACAACAACGATGACAGTGCATTAGTTACTCCGGTGTCTGTGAAGCACGGTATGTTTTTTCTTTAATCTGAAAATCGTAGTTGAGCGATTAGCGAGACAGCTCTTTAAGTCTTTAAGAGTTAAAGATCGTTTTTCCGATTTCATATTATTTGCTTCATTACTATATAAAATTTTCAAACGCATTCTAGAGATAACGGGAGAATAACGTGTAATAAAAAAATAAAATAAATCGTAAAGAATAAAAAATTAAATCAACGATTCTCGAAACTATGGCATGGCAGCTTCGCAGTCCATCCAATTTTCTATTTTTCAGAGCTACGTAATTTTCTTATAGACAATTTTTCTGGAAATTAACTATATGCTATATCACATCAATTAAAAGTCAAGGAATAACGAGCAACACGAATTTACTTTGCTTTTTTTTAGGCAAAAGAGAGCGCCAATTTACGGAGAAGAAAAAAGTAACGCTTAGCAGTGGCAGTGACAGCAATGCATCGCCGATAACGAAAAAAAATAAGATCAATAAATCGCCGCAGATAACTCCGAAAAGGACTTCAACTCGATTGCGTAAATAATATTTTGGGTACGTAACAAAAAAAAAAACAAAAAAACAAAAAAACCCCCGTAGATATGACGTTGTAGAATTAAAAAAATTTATTTCCTTAGAATCGTAAGTTCACATAAATTGTCGGTGGAATATGTACTCGCGTGATGAGAGTGTACAAAAGTTCGTTATGCTACATCGCGGGAGACGCTGCGTTTGAACGTCATCGAGCGCACTTCCGTCGCTCCGGGTTTCCCGGGTTTGCCAGGCGCGGAAGAAGTGCCAGCATTCGGCGTAGGGCTCTGTGAAAGAGACGCTCGTTCGTCGTTGTTGGATTTTTCGCGTTCCAGTCGTTGCTTGCTGAATTTACCCATGCCAGGTCTGTAAATCTCCATTGCCGGGCGATCCTGCAATGATGAAACAGTTTGTGTGGATGCAAAGATTTAGATTTAGTATTAGATTTTATTTTATTTTATTTTATTTTTTTTTTTTTATTTCTAATTTATTAGTTATTTAATTAATTAAAATTAATATAGTACGAAGCAGTTACAAAGATGAGTAAGATTTATCAAAAGATAATTAGACGTATAGGAGATATTTTATACTTGAGAAAGAAATCTTGATATGTATTTATTAAAATGACACTAGTTTTTTATGGACGTCTGTTTTGTCTGTGAAACACGTCATCCGAACGTCGCAGCGTATCTAAGTAAAGAACTCACCTTATTTCGTATCCTGCGTTCCATTCGCGGATCCTTCTTGTCTTTCTCTTTTTCTTCAATCTCGTTCTTTTGTAAATTGCTCGGGCCTCCTCCGTCCAACGATTTATGACGGCGCAAGCAGCTCCCGTCACCTGCGCCGCCTTCACCGCTGCTTTCAAGCGAGCTACGTCTCTTCACAACTTTTGATTTCTCCTCGCATTCGTCGTCCTCATTTGCACCTGCATTAATATATGCATTGTTATTTGGAAGGAGAATTATTTTTATATTATTTATCGCTCTCTATAAAATATTTTCAGAATCCATCTAACGTAATCAAGATTGATTCATTATATTTCGTATCCTTTTTTTTTTAAATCAAATAAGAGACGAATATATATTTCTCACCTGCACTGAGTGAAATGATTCCCTCTTCCGCGTTATCCCCGCAGTCTTGTGTCGCTGTCACTCTATCCTCGGCAGTATTGCGTTGCGTGCATTCGTTGTCTTTGGCGTGTTTCGAGTCGTCATCGTTATGTACAGATTCCTTGCCGCCGTCTTCCCTCTCCTGCGCGGTATCCTGCTCCTCCTTCACCTTCTTCGGACTCGTATCGTCCCCGTTCACGTCAGCGATCTGTTTCTTCGTTTCCGCCAGTTTCTTCTTCTCCTGCCTCATTTTTTCATAACTTTTCCCGCGTCTCTCTTCCATCTTTCTGTCTCGCGATTCCCTGAACTCTTCCTTCGCCTCGTATCTCCTGTCGTCCTTAAAATCATTCCTTCTCTCCTCTCTCATGCTGTCTCTTTCGTCGCGCCTTCCGTAAGGCTTCTTTTCGTCGTACCGTCGCTGCTTGATATCTCTATCTTTATTTCTGTCGTCAACTCGCTCTCTGTATCCTTTAATGATGGGTTTAGTTTCTCGATCGCGCGACAGTTTCTCTCTGATTTTGTCGTCTCTTTTGTTTCTATTCTTCAGCTCCTTTAATGGCATCTTGTCTCTCTCGTCTTTGTTTTCTTTGTCATCTCTCGACTCCTTATCCAGATCCGGATTCCTTAGAACCTGTAAAAAAAACGAGAAAATCAGTGAAATGCATTCTCTCAACATTTCAACGCATCTGCTTTTATTATCGTACACCTATTTTATCTTTTTTTTTTATGTCTTTATTCTTTATTATTTGCTTGCAAGTTAATCAAACGACGAAATAAAGAATACAATAAATCTTTTTTAAAAACATATTGTCTTCGAAAATTTGATACAGACAATATTAAAATAATTACAAAGCGACAACAAGTGTTATACATATAGAATTGCATAAAGTTTTACGAAAATTGTGGATATAAAATTAATCGCGATAAATCGCTCCTTTATCGTCGACGCCAAACGTCAACATCGATTTTTCCGCGTGTCTCATGGCGCAGCAGCAAACCAATTCGCAAAGTTAAATCTTCATCCCGTTCTTTTACACGTCATTTTGGGATGACATACGATTCTTTCTGTGCAAGTATCGTTTCCGCAACTTTCTCGCACGTGAAAGTCAGGGAGGAAATCGCGGCTACTGGTGCAAATATAAAGGATCATTTTATTATTAAACTCTAATATCGAATTTGAAGAGAGAAGATTAGTCTTTAGGAGAACTTTTCCTTACATGATCGCCTTTGTGGAAACAGAGATAAGTTTTGCAGCTGACTTGTTTGCCGCCATTTAAATATTGTTTCTTGACATCGAACATATTTCTAATCGGTTTTGCCTTTTTGATGTGCTCGTAAAACCTCTGATGAGTTTTACATATTTTCTCTTGCGCTCGCTCACATATAAATCTATTGAAGAGAATCTCCTTTCTGCATTTACGTGCACTAGCGTTTTCGACAAAGCATTGAAAGAACGTATCTTCGAATTTGACATTTGCCGGGCGAGATATGACAAAGTTGGACGATAGATTACCTTCAACGCTATTTACGTGCTGCAGACGAAAATATTCGGTGTCAGCAAATACAGTAAAGAATGAAGCGTGTAACTGTTTTTGGCCCGAGTTCGATGTGGAATTTACGAGCAAAAAAGTTATTACTCCGTACTGTATTTGTTGTCATTCGATCTACTGACAATTGCTCTACCTTAGAAACGATGGGATCGTCTTTCGTTCTTCGTCTTTCTATGTCTCTCCTCCGCCGTTCCTCGCGCTTCTCATCCTTAAGACGTTGTTTCTCCTGCTTGCGAATTTTCAAATATTCAAGCAGCGGAGTTGTCATGATTTTCTTCACTGTATCTGTACGATATGATTGTAACAACTTTAAAAATGACTTGACCCCACATGCATATCACGTCTCTGGACTTGTACAAGAAATACAGTGGGAAATACTCACTGTCTGGTGGCTGGTAGGAGTATTCGGTTTTCGATTGAGCTACACTAGGATCAATCTCCTGATTTTTTAAGCTCTCTAAGAAACTTATGTAATAGGAATCACTCTCGATAGTGCCGCATTTGAGATCCTTCTTTTTGCCTGCTCGTTTCTTTGGTAATCTTTGGAAGGGCGCAAACTCCACCACGGCGGGGTATTCCATCCCTTTGGAATCTACGAAGACATAATTGTCAAACTTCTCCCGAAACATGAAGATATCTTGTTGCTCCACGAAATTAATGTAAGCGCGCGAATATGCAAATTGGCCGAGAGACATGTCGGCCTTCACAAAGTACAAATAATCGTGATCCGGCAGGGGGGAGACTTGTTCTAAAAATTGATCTTGAGTCATCGAAGGAGGGAGTCTTCTGATCACCACCTAAGAAGAAAGAAAAAAATATATATTCTTATGCAAATACATGTATTGTAATTTGCCAAAAGTGTCAGTTTGAATAAAATTTTGAAGATATAGAAAATTAACTCCAATTAGAAATAATATTCTTTACGTTTCTATTTATCTTTTAAAAATAACATTTTATCCTAAATATTAAATTTGTTTCTTCATGCATTTTGTTCAAACCACAGTGCTCTGAAATCTCATTTGCATAACTCTCTGGTGCTCAATCATTAAACTTTTATTTAAAATTTACTTATAAATTAATAACAATCAATAGTCTCTTAACTCTGAGACTAATTTTGGATTAGACTTTTCAAGAATAATTGAGCATATCTTTGTTTTGGACTTGTTTTATATGTTTATGTTTTATTCGAATTGATAAGATCCGGCCGGCGGTGTTACTTAAGTGGGCATTTAACATAACCTATACGATCTTTCATAAAAAAACCGGTGCGAAAGACGATAAAAGCTTTAGAGAAAAGAAATTTGTATCTGTTATGAAAATTAGTCGAGATATACCTTTGTCATGGGACGACATTTTTCCTTTTTGTTATCTTTGGTTTTTCCAACATCCAATGAATTGATCTGTACATCGTTTTGCACAGAACAGCTGTCGTTTTGTACAGAATTCTCAGATTGTTGAGTTTCCTCGATCATTTTGACTCACACAACATACGCGCAAAACGACTAGTCAAAATTCAAGAGACGTTTGTCGCCCAACAACTTGAGCGACTCAAAATAACAACGTAAAGCGTGTAATTTTGCGCTCAAGATGAAGAGAAAAGATTTCTCTGCGTTTACACAATTATTGCAGCCATCTTAACTCGGTCCACTGCAAAACGGGAGTAAGGAGGAGTCAGTTGTTTAGCAATTTCATGATAATACGAAGCGTGCGATCAATCGATTACCGTCCGAGAACGCGTTCACTGTGCTCCTATCAGTTTATACAGTCTGAGAGTTCACCCATCTTAGTATGTCGCATAGTTCATAAGGATGTGTTATATGACGCGCCGTAAGAGAACGCGTCAATCGCTGTGGGCCGCCGAGCGCCGCAGTTTTCGCGCGGGGCGGGTGTTGTCGTTTGTCGCAGACTTTCGCGCGACCGTGAAGTGGAGTTTCCGCGGGGGGAAGTTTGTGCCGTGCACGGAGGGACCGCGCGAAAATGCCGCCGAAGAAGCGGGAGAAGGATCTCGATGGACAGAAGGGGCCACGTATGGATCAGATTCAGGCTGATCACGAGCTGTTTCTGCAAGCCTTTGAAAGTAAGTGAAAAACACCTCGAGTCTTTTCTGCACGGCCCGTTTTATTGGATATCGCTTGTCGCGATAAGTGTTCCAACGTTCCGCAGCAACAATCTGCCCGATGACCCTATCAAGAAAGGCGCGCGATGCCCCCGTGAGCATCACCCGTTCGTTATCTCGCTCGCCACCGCCGCCGTGACCGAACCTAACCCCGTTCGTCGTGAACGACTCGGGCGCCCGCCGTGGCGCGCGTCGGTTCGCAATATTCCGCGCCCTCCGTCTCTTCCAAAACGCGCGAACACCTGTCATCCGTTCTCCCATCACGAGACGCTCGCGTTTAGTCGCGGATCAGATCATGCGGTATGATTTTCGATTTTAGTTGCGAGTATTTTTTTTTTCTGCAGAAATATTGCCTACCCGCTCTTTCTGGGAATGCTCGCAAAAAATGGGAGTAAAAAATGGGTACTTTCGAATGTAGCTCGTGAACTGGGAAAACCGAGGCTCCTTGACGCAAATTTAATATTTCCTTATAATTAGCAGTATTAGCAGAAAGATTTATTCTAATGTGTAAGAAAAAAAATTAATTCATTCGCCAATGTTGCACATCCGCGCCAAAATAAGTTGTGTAGCATATCTGATCCCATTCTTATATGCAGACGAACATACTTCAATTTTATTATTTTTTAAGTATTCCTCAGAAAGCTCTTTTTGCAATTATTAATTTTGTGAACATTAAAAAAAAAAATATGGGATCAGAGGAGTTTAACCTGCTGTCGTCGTAACAACAGGGTGGCAGGCGTCTCGAAAAATTCGAGTTAAACCCGTTCATCATCTCCCATTTGATACCTCGAAGGATCGTCTTCTCCTTCACTTTGCGTTGCCTTTAAATCCCAAGCCGTGTATTTTAAATTCGAGAAAGTATTCAACTTTGAAGCCATCTAGGGACTCAGTCTCGTACTAATATAGGAGGAAAAAAGAGGAAAATATCCGTTCTTTACAAGAGCAAATATGCAACAAGCTTAATTTTTGTAAAATCAATAAAATGGCCGCTGATTTTACATAATGATAAATATAATTTATTTTTATGATTATTTATACTCTTTATGTGTATGCAATAATTATATAACAAATACTTACTTGTTTTCCCTTTTTTTTAGTTACATTTTATCAAAGTTTGAACATATAATTGAATAGAGAATTTAAAAAAAAAATTTAAGCATAAACGATAAATTTAATTCATCTGAATACTGCTTCTGATGTAAAAATTATTGGAGAAAAATGATTAAGATATAATGAGAAAAATACATTTTATTTTAAATATTATTACTTCTGATGACGATATACATATATCTTAATACTTCTATTTTTAATTTTAATATTTTTTTTTGCAGAACCAACGCAGATTTACCGATTCCTCCGCACAAGAAATCTAATCTCAGTGAGTAAATAATTTCTTATTTCTATTCTTTATTTCCTTATAGTCTTAGCGTTGCCCTCAAAGTGTTATTTACGTTTTTTTTTTTCATTTTTATTATATACGAGTATATATAATTCGAAAACGCGTTTGGTGTAATAAAAGTTTTGAACAAAACAAGATACAAAAATAGATACTCAAAATGCTATGCGCATTCAAAATTTGTCAAGCATTTATCTCATCAGGTAAGTTGATATATGTTTCTTTGATTCCGTTATTTCAGTTATAGTTTATGCATGTTTCTCAAAATTTGTACAGTATGATAAGTATGACATTTTTTTAAGTGCAAAATATTGTATGTAAAAGTTGAAATTATTTAAGAATCACGAGTATTCTGCCCGACGATGACGAATGTATATTAAAACCTAATGTTTCTTTTTAGCCAATATTTCTGTACAGAAACCTAACGTATATGCGGCAACGTATGTCGAGAAGTCACAAATCGCGGCGAGGATTTAAGGTCGATATGATTCTGGATAAATTAATAGCGAAAAAGAAGCAAGAACAGAATCTCGGCATTCGTGGATACATGACTCTTACGTTTCTAGGATTTTATGACAAAAGAGGTACAATCTCAGTTACGCTGCCTTCTCTCTGTGCGCCTGAAAAAAAAAAAAAGTTGTACTGATAGTTTGCAAGATATTTTATGCAATGTGTGACATAAAGCTGTGATATGTGATTGTAGTCGAGGTATCGCAGGATCCCGTCAAAGTGGAAACGTTGTTGTTGAAAATTTGCCACAAGAAAAGGAAAGATGTGAGCTCGCCAATCATGCAGGTGGGTGTGATGTTAATTCAGTTCGAAGCACAGTCAGTGTGTGTAAAGGGCTGGAGTCGGGTTCGGATTAAAAGATACGGCGTTTCGTTCAGGTCTCGATCGGCACGAGTGAGGTCCCGATCAATCCCTCCGACAGTCAGCCTCCGCCGAAAGCGCCCACGGTTTCCATACCCAATGAATCATTCAGCTTGAACAATGGTCACATAGCGAAGACTTACATGCTTTTGCTCAGGGTTTACTGCGTGTCTAACAACGGCTGCCTTATAACTAACTGTGATTTAGAAGGTACGTGAGCATAATTGGTTCACAAAATGTGTCTAAAACCGCGTCTCTTACAGAACCAGCTCAAAAGCGTCGTAAATCATCGACGGGCTCGATAAAAATGAACGGCGAGGAGATGAAACAGTACGGCTCGGAGCTTACCGTGTACGACAAGCACAATCGGTGTTTGTTAACGGACGGCGAGTATGAGCTTGGCCTGCAAGAGCTGCAGAACAACATTCGGTTCAGCCCGAAGAAGCACAGTTCTTGGGAGACGGTGGTCGACATCAAGGACTGCGAGCCGTTCGAGATGTTCCGGCAAGGGCCGACGTTGAAGTTCCGGTTGAGCTGGACGACGGAACCGAGCGACGATCTCGTGGACAGACCGATGCCGATACCCCAGATACCGAACGGCGACAATAAAGAGAATAGATCGGCGAACGGTCAGTTCTCGTAGTTATCGCGCCGCAGTTAGTAACGCGCATACATATATCGCGGGCATAAACGTGTTGCGTTATCTTTTCAGCTGGTATTGAGCGTTCCTCTACTGTAAATCACAATAATAATAGCACGAACCATAACAATAACGCAACACTGCCAACGCCTAGTCCGCTGACCCCCTCGTCGAGAATGAGCGTCTCTAACGAGAAGGTGGACGCTAACGCAAACGGGACTCAGCAGATAGTCTATCAATTTTTGTACAACAATAACAGTCGGCAGCAGACGGAGGCCTGCGAAGACCTACACTGCCCCTGGTGCTCGCTGGACTGCGGCAAACTATACTCGCTTCTCAAGCACCTAAAGCTATGTCATCCGCGATTCACATTCACATACGTGGTAAGCGCGATTTACATTAACACGGTTTACGTAGTAAGTATAATAACATGTTTACGCAATATCGCATCAACGGAAAGTATTACAGAGTATTTTTAGATTTCTAAATATTTTTACCAATTTTTCACATATATTTTTTCGACGCTGCGTTCTGTCGGTATCCTTCCAAATACATGTCACGTGATATATTGTAGGATTGCAGACTCCGTGCTTTTTCGCGAAGCAGCGATGATACGAATAATGCTTCCGAAAGGTCGCGGCTTTGCAATACTTTTCATTGGTGCACCCAATGTGTGTGTATGTGTGTGCGATAAGCACGCGTTTTGAGAGAAATAAACGGTCGACTCGATTGGACGTCGAGACAATTGTAATTGTCACTGTGCTACATGCGCTTTACTTTTTCAGCCAATTCCACAAGGTGCCCGAATAGACGTAGCAATAAACGAATGCTATGATGGTTCGTATGCAGGTAGTCCTCACGAATTAATTTCGCAACCATCTAGTGTACCTTTTTCAAGGACAGGGCCAACCAGACGCACGAGCGTGACGAATATCCTGGTGTGTCGTCCGAAGAGAACGAAACCGAGCCTATCGGAGTTTTTGGAGCTCGACGAGAACGAGTTCGAGAGTCAGAGGCCTTACATCACCGGCCATAATAGGTGGGTGATCGCGGAAAATGATTGTTCACATCTCGATTTCGCTAACAAGACACTTTCCTTCAGACTGTATCATCACACTGTTACCTGCCTGCCTATATACCCCAAAGAGATGGACGTCGATTCCGAGGGCGAGAACGACCCCAAGTGGCTGCAAACGAAAACGATGATGATGATCGACGACTTTACAGACGTGAACGAGGGCGAGAAGGAGCTGATGAAGATGTGGAACTTGCATGTGATGAAGCACGGATACGTGGGGGACTGCCAGATACCACTAGCTTGCCAAATGTTCTTAGAGTGTAAGGGGAAGGAGCTGCTTATGAAGAATCTGTACCGCAACTTCGTGTTGCACATGTGCAGTCTGTTCGACTTCGGTCTGATCAGTCCGGTGATACTATATCAGA